GAGGGGAGGGGTAAAAAAAGGAAAATGAGCTGATTCCGGGAACCCAAGAGGCAAGCGAACTTTGGGAATAATGAGGGCAACAAATGTATAGATGTGTTTTATACAATTGATCTATGTATTGTGATGAATTGTATGAGCCCCAATAAATTGATTTTTAAAAAGTATTAAAAATATATATAAGTGGTCAATAAAATAATATTCATATGAAAAAAAATGTATCAGCAAGTGAAAATTTGGAATTTCTGACATCAAAGTAATCAAAAAGTATTATATTACTCATGCCAATCTTGCTAAGTTTAAAAAAATTGTGGAATTTAAATTCTGAAAATGGGTTCTAGTTGTGGAAATATTGTTGTGAGATTACTTGATTCCTCTATTGGCTGTTCAAGAGAAATGTTGTTAAAGATGCCACTTTGTCTCACTGCATTTGTTTTTTGAAGGCTTAAGCTGAACAAAGGAGCCCTGATGGGGCAGTGCATTACTCATTGAGCTGCTAACTAGGTCAGCAGTTCAAATCCACTAGCTATACCAAAGGAGAAAGATGAGGCTATCTGTTCCTATATTGAAGGTGGCTGTGAGTCAGAATGGGCGTGATGGCAGTGGAGAGGAGAGGAGGGCATGCAAATCCTTGCTTTTTTATTTGGCTTTAGCCAGCAATCGCACATTAATTAATGCATGCACTTTAACATTTTAGATACTAGGCATTAACATATTTATATATATATAAAGTATTGCCAAACATTTTATTAAACTCTTCATTCTAAATTTTTAGTTCATTGCACCTTCTGGAATAAGTGGCTGCCCTGTGATGTAGATTTTACCTTAATTGCCTTCAAAGATTATCTGCACTCTTTATTCTGAATAATTTATAGCATGCTATATTAAACCAGAGTCAAGTTTCAAAGCAATAATGTATGAATCTGTGAACACAAGTAACTCAGAATTGAATCAATTTAATTAACATTGAAATTGAGTCTACTTTCTTAATTTGGGCTGGAACCTAGAAATTCCGTGTGACATTTTTCAAGTTTTCCTCATTGTATATACTCTGGAATGAGTTTGATGAGACTCAAGGTGCTGCTAACTGCAAGGTCAGCATTTCAAAGTGACAAGTCACTTCATGGGAGAAATATGAGGCTGCCTGCTCCCACAAAGAGTCAAGTCTCGGGCACCACAAGGAGCAGTTCTACTCTGTCTGAAAGGTGGCTAGGTGTTGGAATTGACTTGATGGCACTTGGTTTGTTTGTTTCCAAATAGACTCCAAACTTCCAAAGGTATCTTCCTTTTTATGATATTCTTGCTAACTCAAAAACAAAGTGGAAGATAGAAATAGAAAGATGTTCTTAATATAATCATAGCAGAAAAGGAAACCTTAGAAATCTTCATCCAAAACGATCAATTCAGCATGAAGTGCAGCGTAAGAAGCATGTGCAGCATGGTCTCAGATATTATTGATCCTTCTTTGTGTATACTCTCATTTATAAGGAGCCCCGATCGTGCACGTTAAAGC